CCCGAGGGGTCCCAGACTGCGAGAGGGCACAGGCCGGGCTGAGGGACCCCCCCGGGGTGCACAAATTTTTGTGCACCGGGCCTCTAGTCTATATAATAAAAGCCTAAGCGACCATTATGGTGGAACAACCAGAACAACCGGTCACTATGATGCACACTGACCACCAGGGGGCAGACACTCAATGCAGGAGCTGCCCCCTGGTGGTCAGTGCACTCCCACAGGGGGAGCGTTGCTCAGCTAAAAGCTGGGGTCACGGCTGGTGAGCACAGTGGTGGTGTCGGGAGCCTCTCCCACCTCCGTGGCAGTGCTAAGGAGCAGCAAGCCAAGCAGTAAGGAGCGGCAAGCAGGCGGGCGGTAAGGAGCGAGGGGTTCTGGGCTGCCAGAGGGCTCAGGCCTGGCTGAGGGACCCCACCCCAGTGAATGAATGTAGTGCACCGGGCCTCTAGTTAAGTATAATCTCTTTGACACTCTGTCTTTTGTGGTGTGTGTGTGTGTTTAAATAAACTATACTTGGGGTATGTAACACGATTTTAGAAAGTTCTGAGAGAGCGTTAGGAACTTCATAATTTGACTTCTGAGCACATTTGACAGTAAAGTAACTTCATGTTGGAATGAAGTCCAGGTATGGGAATCCATGATTTATTTTGGATCATCTAATTGGAGGCATCTTCATCTTTACAAATGCAAATTCTACTTCAGGTCATAGGATTCTGTTTGTAGACAAAAGACTTGCCTGTGCTAGGTAGGAGATAGGAATTTTAAATGTTTTTATATTTTTAAAGTTAATTGAGATTTGTCTCCTTTTTTTCAGTCTAACTATAGTTAGAAGATGGAAGATAATGTCCCCTCTTTGGCACTTACATAAATATAGAATTTTCTTTTCTCTTAAAAACAAGACACTCTTATTCCACATTTTCAAGAGAGAAGACAGATCTTGACTTATGTCATTTTGATGTTACAGATTTTTTTGTTGCTGTTTTATATTTAGGCATATTAATAACAAGGCTCAGAGAATTTTAAAAATCTATTTGTGTTTGAGAGAGAGCTAGATTAATGGAGCAGAAACTGTCTTTGTTCATGTAAAGATTAATTGGAGTTAGTTTGGGGTGGGAGTCGGGAGAAGAGATAATTGGGACAGCCTATCTATCTACAAGCTAGTGTTCTACTACAGATTCATTGCCCCAAGGAAGTTTATCTGTCCTTTAAGTTGTGTCCTCTATATGGTGGGTATGTGTTCCCTGTTTACTACAGGATATACTGGGAAAATGGATAGTATTATCTTTTTAAGGGCTTAGAGTTGCTGATGTGATGATGAGATACAATGACCTGGAACCTATATAGTTTACCATATTGTGTAGAGTAGATGTACATCCCACTGCATCAGATTTTTGGAGATTAGGCACATGGATCTTCATTTCAACAAATAAATCCACATGATTCTAAGGGCCTAAGACCTGCTCTCCTTAGAGGAAGAATAGCAACTGTGTCTTGTAACATACTTCACTCGGAGCCCAGCACATTCCTAATGCATGTGGATTTTTAATGAGATTGAGTGATGTATTTAGGGGAAGCTCACATGGTTTCTACATAAGACCAACGGCAGTAGATTGTTCTTATTAAAGAAAGTATTGGCTAGAGGCCATGGACTAAGCCTCTAGAGGAGCTATTTAATCCCTTTGTTTCAGAATCTCTTGTCTTTTGGGATATCAACAAGGTTTGTATTTTAATTTATTGCAGAGATTGGGCTAAGACCTAATTTTGGTTTTGTATTACAGTTTACAAAGAATAGAACTTGAAGTGATTGTCATCATCTCAGTTAATGCTATTTAAAAACCTTTCTCACAAACCGGTAATCTGGACTTGTAAGGCTAGTAAAATACCCAGAGACTTCATCATAACTATTATTCCTCCTTTTGCCAGATATGTCTGGGTTATGAATGGAACAGTGAACTGAGTACTGTATGTTTTGAAATTATCAACTTAGTTTTTTGTTTTCCTTGAAAACCTTGACCTTGCGATGTGATCTTTTTTTCTCTATTCCCTCCCACTCCCTCCCTTTTCACAGGCGGCATGTTTTCTACCTTCAGCATCACTTAAGTGGTAGTTTTCCTCACAGTGTGACCCAGTTGTCAACTGCAGACAGCCCTGTGGGGACTTCAAGTGACTTGCACCACATCCCAACAGGCCCTCGCACGGCTCAGGCAATGGAAGTGGATGGATTGAGTGACTCAAGCAAGCAAGGCTATTCCCAGGAAACAAAACGCCTGAAGCGGACCCCAGCTCCAGATTCCGTAGGCCTGGAAATGGAACATAGGTTCATCGATCAAGTATTGTCCACTTGCCGGAATGTAGAGCAGGCCAGGTTTGCCAATGCGTATAGGAAATGGCTGGGTACGTTGAGTCAATGAAAAAGGTGGACTATTACTGCAAGGTTCCCCTTTTTAGTGCAATATTGCTTTCCTTTCTTATTTACATAGCTGCATGAACTGTCTGCTATTATTAGCTAACCATATATTCTTCATCTTTAGGTTAAAAGTCCAAAAAAGACCTTTCATTTTATTTATTTTGTTAAAAACTGGCATTCCTTTGGGGACAAAATAATTGTGTACTTCTTTCCTGCTAAATAGTGAGTCTTAATTTTCTTCTTTGAAACTTCTCATCCTTTCTGTTTCTATACTTGTTTATTTCTAAAAGAAGCCTGTTTCTAGGCTTCTCATTTGGTCCTCCTAGCTGGTTCAACACCTCCACCCACCTCGGTGCAATTGCTGGATAGACTAATTTTTTTAAAAAATTAAAAATGTATGTTGTAGTTAAGCTTAAAAACAATACAAATGCAAAATTACTCAATCTAATTGTTGTTTTGAGAATCAAATGGCCAGATGGATGGTTATGTGAAAATACAAACCATTTCTTTCTCTAACATGTTCTACAAGTTATAGACCAAGATAACCAAAGTCAGAGTGTTGGAACTTATATGAAAAACATGCTTCCAATGTAATCCATTTTTAAAATGGTTATTTTAAAAAATAATAATAATTTTAAGAGTTTATGTAATTGCAGTACTAGAAAATTATTTTTATTACTAGTTTTGATAGATTGTTTTTAACCTCAAATTTGGTATATGCCAAAAACATTTAGATCAATGCTTATAAAAATCAATTTTTTAAAAAAAACCTGGAATGCCATTTTTAGTTATTACTACTTATTTTCCTTCCAATTCACCATAAAAAATGGGAGAAATATGCATAGAAATGTATCCATAAAAATCTTCCTTTTTAAAAATTTAAGTTATTGAGGATACACTGGATAAACTACAAAATTTTTATGAAATGACTATTAAAAGTTAACTGGCAAAAGCCAGGGAGACAGACTAATTTTGAAGGTTAATTCTTTAATCTTTATTTTAAAAAATAAAATAATTAAAAAACTTTGATACTAAACTTATCAGGGATGAGGTACCAAAGTATCCACCTTATAGCTATATTTTATCTTTTAAATAACAAGGGCTGTTTTTTTCAGGTTGGTTGGGCCGAGGGGGGAGTTTGGGGAGTACCAGGTAATGTCTATTTTCCATTATTATATTTTCTATTATTATATTATTATATTTCCCATTCATAAGTGGTCTGTGTTCCTTATTTCCACATACCTTTCTCTTCATTGTCCCAGTTTGTTCCTTATTTTTTGTCACTTTCACCTTTGTCTGTTTTTTCTTATCTGTGTTATTTCAGTGACATATTCTGAAGATATTCTTCCCTATTTCCAATGAATTCCATACTCCATTAAACACATGCACACATGAAATATGAATATGAACTGCTCCTCTAAAAGTTCCTCTAGTGATGGAGGCTGTCTTGCCCTGTGTATGTAAAGAATGTGAGTCATAGTGGCAGAAACAATTGTGGCCACCATGCTTTGTCTGTTATCCTTTTTTCCTTGCTAGGTCACCCATGGTGCAAAGAGACAATGTAGGGAAAGGCAGACCTCCTATCTCACTGTTATGGAAACTCTGGAATTCAATGAAACATATTGCTGTAAGGGAAAAGAATAAGTCCTGTACTTGTGCATCATGATTTTGTTGAGTGGCAAAATGTTGAGACTTAAGAACACTAGAAAAATTGTCCAGCCTGGTTGCTGTAGACAGAAGGTGCTCTTACCTCTTAGGGCAAATTATCCTTTTGTAGCTTTTACAGTATTTTAGTGAAAAAATAATTGTCATTATGAACATAATTCCATGGCCCTTTGTGTGCAAGGCATATTTTGAATCAAATACCTCAAGGATAAAACCATTAACTTGTGATCTTTAGCATCTACAGGGATTGAGGGGGAAATTACACAGAGATGACATGGGAGGTTCAACTCATTCCACTGATACATGTTGCCAAATTCTGGCCTCACTCAGTATTATCTTTTTTCTAAGCATCATTTTAAGTATCCCAACTATTAGGGCTTCTTAATGCTTTGATGTTAGAGTATTCAGGACGTGAATATAGACAAAAACCCTGTGAAACATCAGCTAAATTTTATAGTGCTCCACATTTAAAAAATACATATTTTTATTGATTTCAGAGAGGAAAGGGAGAGGAAGAGAGAGATAGAAACATCAATGATGAGAGAGAATCATTGGCTGCCTCCTGCATACCCCCTACTGAGAATCAAGCAATGCAACCTGGGCATGTGCCCTGACCGGGAACTGAACCATGACCTCCTGGTTCTAAGGTTGGCATTCAACCACTGAGCCACACTGGCCGGGCCACATTTTTTATACCTTTCACAGAGTATCTTGCTCATCTTGTTAATTGTCTTCATCTGTTTTAAGTCTCTTAACCCACCCCTTTCTGAAGCCATGCAGTCCTTTAATATCTTGGTCTCTCGTCTTCCTAATAAAGTTTTAAGTAGGAGTGAAAATCAAACATTCAGAGGGTACTGTTTGTATGACTTTTGTGTGCTGTTTCTAAAAATTTTATTTTTAAGTGTTCATTCACAGAAAAACCTGGTATTGTCCTATATGGTTGTATTTTTTTTCCTAAATGGTCGACACCTAAACTCACTGGCTGTAGCATAATATCTTTTTGACTGAATGAGCTCATTCAGTGGAAAGGATGTGTCTATTTTTTGGGATTTGTTAGTCTTCACTTACTTTGTATAAATATGTCATTGTTAAAAGATGGTTTAGGTTGACATACATTTCATCAAACTTTTACTGGAAGAATAGTAGGCCGTAGTACATCCTGTGGATCATGTATACTACTGACATGCAAAAAGCAATAAGATTGTCAAGATCTTCATCACCACCACTAACCCACCTTTTTTTTAATATACCTATTTTGATAATATGGTGTTTTCAAATTCTACTTGCACATTGTGAAGGTTTGTTAAATATGTATTTAATTAATGAATGATTAACTGTTTGAAGAGGGGAAAGATTGATCATGAGTGATAGAGTGAGTTATGATTGAGAAATTAATGAAGCAATGGGCTGTGAATGGATGATATATTCTAGCTTCATGATTCTTCAGTGGAGCTATTGCATATTGAATAAGTTAATTTTATACAGCTGCTTTATACATCCAAGAAGTATAGTTCTGTAATTACCAATTAATTGTACTTTAATACATACTAAAAAATCATAGGACTAATGAAACCTGTTTGCATTAAGAACACTATTTTCTGTTATGATGTTGCAGAAAAATCTTACCAGTACAGCCAGAGCCACTGAGGGGCATCTGAAGAAATTCTCTAATTTTAAAGACTTGTTGATCAGTACCAGTGAATGGATAGTCATTTTGTACTTCTCCTTTCCCCCTCCCAAACTTGAACTGTGGACCTTTTAGATATTTCTTAAACCTCTGTAAGTCATTTTTTAAATTTAAGGATTTGATACTTCGTGTTCCCTTTTTCTTTTCTAGGTTTTAGCATTTTATTACCTTTTTGGAAACTATGGACACAGACTTTCAGTCATATTTCGTATGGTACGGTTCTAATTTTAAGTTAAAGGCTTCATGATTAATAGGACTAAATGTATACAGAATGTCACTAAAAGCCACTTAAATTTTCAGATAAGGGCTTATGTAACAAGATGTGGAAACACAAGTTCTTGGATTTGTATGTGGCATTTTGTAGGAAAGCATATATGGGGGTAGACCATGTGTCATTTAGTAGATATATTCAGGTCATATCAGCTCATGCTTGTTGAGACACACACACTGAGAGTTGTGTGTGTGTGTGTGTGTGTGTGTGTGTGTGAAGAGAAGAAGAGAACTTTTAATATTGTTGAGAACAAGTTATCAGTCTAGCAATTTTATATAGCACAGATGGTATCTGACACAGGCGCTAAGTACAATTTGGGAGTGCAACTACCACTTGTACAATAATCTGTCTCAACCTCAGTTCCCTGAATTACAAAAGATGCTAAAGATTCAGTTAACAAAGGAAGTAACATAATCTTTTTTTCCCCATAAAGCTTTTGTAAGCTTACAGTTATTTTGTTACTAGAAAATTATATTTTAAAACTTAAATATTTAAATTATGCTAGAAAATTTGAACAGCATTGTAACAACTGACCTTTTTGTCTTCTGAATAAATTTCTCAAATAGAACCATTGCAAATGCTGTCACTTTACAGACGTGCCGCTGCTTCCCGTGCTTGGGTGAACTCTGTCCCGTGCTCCTGTTTAATGAAGTGCATTGAGGCTCAGGGATCTTAGGCAAATTCAGTGTGATGAAGGCAGTAAGCAGGAAAAATCAGCCCTGAGAATTCTACTTAATGTCACACAGTGTCTTTTAAAAAATAACTATACATACTGTGTTAATCCGAGTGCCTTTCTTACTTTTGTGGGGAGCAAGATTATAGTTAAGTCTAATGTTTAGATAGAAAACAGAGAACAGAAGTTTTATCAAACTGTTGATTGTGACTTATTCCAATTGCTAGGCATGGTTCCCATGGAGTATTTTATCTAATGAGATACTGATATGAGCAGATGTTATGATTTCGTTTGCATTTCATTAGTTACCATGTTTAAGCACCCTGCCAAGAAGAATCATTCTTCTGGGGGGTTGAAGGCATCACATTTAAAGTATGGTATGTGCATAATGAAACATCAGCCTGGAACCCACGCAGCCTGTGTTCAAAGGGAAACTGGCTCCCTCCGCTGAAAGAAATGCAATATGATTGTCCTAAATGAATCTTTTGCCTCACTTTAAGAACTTTTAAGAATTACCCCCCAAATCCAGGCCTATATTAAGATAGTTGAAAGGAAAATAAATGGGAACTTTATCCTTTCAGATATTAGAGGAAAAGAAGCAAATACTGAGATGAAATTTCAAATGTGGCATTTTATGTACTTTGGGTATGGAAAGGGGAGGGATGGGAATTCCATATTTCAAAATAGCAAATAATTTTTAATTGTAATTTTATAAAAATAGATAGCTAAGGATTCCAAAGTGCTTTTCAGAGGACTGTTGAATAACATATTCTAGTAATATCTGTCATGTTCATAGTTGAGTCAGAAAACCATTGTGTCTGTTGGGATCGGGTCAGGGAAGCCTTCGGCTCCCAACTTTCCAGGCCATGTTAACGCTGTAAAACCAAACTCTTTGCTAGGAAAAAAAAAGAGAGAGAGAAAGCAGCAGCTTTGTCTGCTCATGAAACCTTGTGCTTCCAAGAATATTCGCTATATATATATATAGTTTGTGCTTTGGGGCAATAATATGGTCCACAAAACTAACCCTGGCATTTTTTTTAATTAGTCTATTATTATTCCTCAGGGTGTAGAAGATTTAGTAAATTTAGGACAAAATTTTATATTCAGTGGCAAAAAAGAAAAGGCAAAAATATACTAGATACATTACTACTTCTTGAAATTTTAGTGTACATAGTATTTTTTATGAACCACTACCAGTGCAGTAGCACGTAGATGCTTCGTGACTGCCTCATTGTTCATCATGCTGCTTCAGTCCCTATAGCTCTGTTATGAATGTTCTCACATGTCTTCTCTGGAAACAATTATTTTTCATGTTTGACAGAGATAGGGGTGTTTCAGTGGACCTTTTCAGTTTTTGGAAATCCTGTTGAGGAAAATTATTACTGTTTTCAAACTAACTGACAACTGTTTTGCTTCCTAAAACTTCAGGTTCCCTAAAAAGTGTTTTTGTGCAGACCCTGTACATGTTCAATACATTGCATAGTACTCTGTACCTTGTAGGAATACAACAGGTCAGAATTGTTAAAGGCCGGAAAATTGAAACTAGCTTATCTCTGTCTTCTCACCATTGTCCATATTCTTAGTTTTAGGAGAAATAAAGTGCATAAGATACATAATCAGGTTCAAACATGCAAGGCAAAGATTGCAAATGAAACTTAGGTACTTTTAAAGCATATGTGTATGTGTGTATACATATATATGTATGTACATTTAAATGAGATTTGGAACTTGAATTTATATCGTGGTTTTACAAAGAATTTTATCTAAGGATTTTTATTTTCATATTTGCTTACAGTGCTCCTGTTTAAAGGCTTTTTTTATTAGACCAACTCCCTCAAGCAAAGTTTGGACCCTAACACAAGTACCCATTTGCCTGAATTAATCAGATATTAGTGTAAACGCTATTAAGTCTTTGGTT